CCCTGAACATTAATTTTGAATCACCCTATTATCTGTGGATGAATTATAGTTGTTAGACGAAACCATGTGATGCTAAATGTCACATAACAATATTTAATAAAAACTAGATTAAATTTTTAGGTCTTGGTAGTTTATAACAGGTGATGATTATCATCACATGGTTTCGTCTCATAGATTTGAGAGGCGATCCGTTTTCCGATCCTAAAAGCTTTTGGCCCGTATTATAGTTGGGCCAAAAGCTGTTAGGATTGTTAAACAATCTAGCATAGATCAAATAACCTTTTCAATGTGCTTGCATAGTGCATAACCAATTAAGACTTGACATTAGCCCTAAAATAAATCTATACTCAAAAATGCTATTACTTAATTTGTGGTCTAAAATGTGGTACAAATTAGTTAAACCGGTTACTAAAAATAAATCATTTAATTCATATGTTAGATGAGCTATTTAAATTTCATCACTAAAGAAATACCTTCAAAAAAAACTTTGAATTATTATCTTCCAGTCTTCTTTTAGCTGAATAAAGCCTCATACCATCCTTTAAAGAAATATCCTTCAACTAAATGTTTTATCTGGATAATCTCATAAAGAGACTTGGTGAATTATGTCAAGGTATTATGATTGATTATTAATTCAGACTTCAATTTATTCAGATTATGTACTACTGTACTAATTCCAAAACCTCTTGCATTGTTAGAAATTGTGTCCGAGTATGAGCAAGAACAAAACCAAGACGGAAGCTATGACGTCTATAAAAATTTAAGTCTTGTAGAATTGTGTCAAGGTATTATGATTAATTATAATTCAAACATTCATCAAATTTCAATTTGATTCAGTTATGTACTATACCAATTCCAAACCTTTTTTATTGTTAGAAATTGTAAGACATGCAGAAATGTATCAAGGTATCATAATTCGAACATTCATCAAATTTCAATTTGATTTGGATTATTTTGACATTGTTAGAAATTGTGACAAAATATGAACAAAAAAAAAGAAACAAATTATGATATCAATAAAAACATTGTTCACATACTAGATTCTAACGACGGGGTGCCCAAAGAAAACTTCCCAAGCATGCTTTATGATAATGAAGTTCCATTAAATTTATTATGTGACGTATCAGGTTTTACACCGACCTTACAATCAGCATTTACTGCTAATCAGCTAAATGATTCTCCCACCACCTCTACCGATATAGCATTATCCGATAACATGTTTAATTCAAGTTATTTGGAATTTGAAGAAAACCAATTTGCGCCAATAATGCGTGGACAAAAAATGAATTCTTTACATTTTATTCCTTACGATGTTAATCCTGCTAACAGAAGCATTCGTAAAAAGTCTAAAACAAAGATCAAGAAACCCCAAAAGCCCTCTAATTGCTTCATTATTTACAGGAATGAAAAATTACCAGAAGTCATGAAGAAATATCCTAACATCACCCAAGGCAAAGCTTCTAAAATAATTGGTGAAATGTGGTCTATTGAATTGTCAGAAGAACGTTTAAATTTTGAAAATAAAGCTAAAGAGGCTAATATCCACCAACAAAAACCTAAAGGAATATAGTGAAGAAATAGTGAAGAAATAAGTAAGTATCACTTTAAAGTTTAGGATAAGCTGGAAGTAAAATTCAGAATCTCATCCTAACTAACATAAATAATATTTTTTTAGTTTACTGTTTCTAGACTTAAATCTGACAGTAAATAATATTCAGTCCAGATTGTCAGTGTCTTGGCTTTAAAAGTTGAATAATTTATTATCCGTTAAAATGATACATTACACTAGAAATGAGAGATTACAAAAAAAGAATATTTAAAAAAGCAAATTTTGCTGTAGAGTAAGAATTAGGATATATAGGAATGTAACATTAGTATTTATTTTAAAAATAAATAAATCCAATATACAATTTTTTTTTCTTTTGCTACAATACATTTAAAAAATTATCTAGAGGTTCGAATTTAAAATTTAAAATTTAAATATAGTATACATAAGGCATAAATAAAATCAACTTTTTGTTTTGCTTAATGAGCAATGTTGAAGTTTTTTTTGTAAATTAAAAATTTACAGAAAACCAATCCCTAAAAAAAAAAAAATAATTTTTAATAACTAAAAAATTATTTTATGAAAACAATATGAAAATTTATATTTCATACAAGCTCTAATTATATTTCAATTCATAATA